AATCATCTGATGACACCTCCTCTCTTGATGAGCACAAAGGAGTGCAGCATGGCCCTGTCCAATCTGTCCCAATGGTGCTTGTCAACAGAGTTGGTGGCTCTCACAATGACAAATCTCAGTCATTTTCTATGGAACAATGGTCCAAGCCTGGCTCCTATTGGGAAATTTAATAAAGGAGCAAAGATAATAGCAACAGTCTGAGTTGGGTAGATGTTTAAAGGAGAAAAATTGAGGAGTTTTAACTGTCCACACCCCAAACTGCCAAGCAATCATTTCAGCAGCAGTCTGTGGCCCTCAAGCCATTTCTATCACTTTACTGTAGCATTTAATTTGTAAACTGTCCAGTTTTTATTAAAACAAAATTAAAGTCATGCTCTCACAGTAATACACATGAGGCTGTTTATTAGAAGTCTACAGGTGCACCTTCTTCACAAGGTATGTAGCAATAGCTTGCTAATGCACACGCTGTTGATGTTTACTGCTAGAAGAAACAAATACTGAACACATTCAAATTATTTTTGGGACCACAGAGAGCCAACTCCTGGATTTTTACTCGTTTATCTTTTTGCTAACTCTTGGAATGCTGAATATTTTCAAGAAATAACCTGAAGTTTATAATGGCAGTAGTGAAAAGATTTGGCATACCCAATAGAGTAGTCACAGTTCTGAAGTTCATATCATATAGAATCTTGGCCCACAGTCCCTGACTTTGGCTATTTAGTGAACAATAATGTACAAAAATGTGAGGAGGAACAGAGAAGATTTGAAACAGTATGGAAAGAAAAAAGTAGAAGTCTATTCTATATACGCTTTTATACCACACTCATCACCATTGTATCTGAGAACCTTCCAGTAGTGCATTAGGATACGTGACTATACATTGGTCATGTGATGTTTGTTCTTTTATACTCTCCTCAGATGGAGAAGCATGTGCAGTGGAGTATCTTGTTTTGGTGGTAGTGCATCTTAACACAAATATGTGTGTCTATGTTATGGAAGTGTAATGCATACATACCTGGTTTAGAAGGACATTCTTCGAAAACTTTTTGTTGTTGCTCTACTGTTGCTCTTTCCCATGGGACACACAGAGAAAAAGTGGTGTTCCACACACACCTGATTCCAGGACCTGCTCTCAAGCAAGATGTCTCATTGTCATAAGCTTCACAGCTTTCTGGTGTATACCTCAGGATATCGCTCAGGAGGAGACTGTTGAACCCTCCAAATATATACACAGTGCTAAACATAAATAAGAAAATTGAAGTAAATGTTATGTTCATATATTTGTATCTATATTTGTAGACCATATATATAGCTCTTGATAACTGTGCAGGGCAGCTAGAGTATATGGATAGGTGCCCTTTTCTAGTAAATCCAACTAGATCAATAGATGTTGTTAGGGAACACATTAAACAGAAGTGAGGTTCTTACCCACGAAAGCTTATGCTCCCAATACTTCTGTTAGTCTTAAAGGTGCCACAGGACCCTCTGTTGCATTAAACAGAATGGTATCTCAGATTTCCATTAGTTCAGTGAATCTCAACCCATGACTTTTGAGCCATAAACTGCATCAGATCTCTCCTCAGTCTGGGACTGTTGTGATGTATATGTTGTAATACGCTATAGGCCATACGGGCCTAGTATAAATGCTGTATGTGCATGTGAGTTGTGTGCTGGCAGCTGAAGCAAGGACTTAAGGTTATGAGCAGTAAAGAATTGTCATGCAAAATAAACTTTGTCATGTCCATAAGAGGAAATGGAATGTCCTGGATTATGGCAGCCTGCCTGGAACTGCTGTCCTGGAATTATGGGGAAAGTCTAAGTAAACAGACAAAGAGCTAATGACGCGACAGATTCGTCTATAAAAAAGGTTGTTTGCTATAGCTGAAGTCGGAGCAGACACCGACCCAGAGCCCTGAAAAAGAAAAAGCGTGTAACGTGGGGCTCCCCATGCCTTGTGATCGGACTGAATTTCGACTGGCCATCGGGATTTCCTTCGGATCTTCAGACTCTGGCGTAGCATGAAAGGAGTGTGAATGTGGAGTGAGTGGGGTTTATATTGTAATCAATAACAATATTTAGAGTATTATATCCCAACACTGGTTTCAGAGTAGCAGCCATGTTAGTCTGTATCTGCAAAAAGAACAGGAGTACTTGTGGCACCTTAGAGACTAACAAATTTATTTGAGGATAAGCTTTCGTGGGCTACAGCCCACTTCATCAGATGCATCTGTGAATACTGTGTCTGGTATCTGCCTGCTCCCCCATCCCGTAGGGAGGCCTCTATCAGAGCCTAACATTTGGTGAAGAATTGCGAGGGGGGGGGGAAGAGATATAAGGAGTGCCAGATTGTGAGACGGGGTCTCACAGGTGACTCCTTATTTGTGGGATTAAAAGTACGCGTGGGGAGATACTGCGTGGAGTTTTGGCAACATGCAACATTAAGTATAACTGAATGAGAGCGTGTGGGGAGATTCCCCATGGGGTTATTGAGATTGCATTTGCGACCTACCCTTGGATGGAGGATGCAGTAGAACCCGACGTGATAACTGATACATTAGAAAACATGTTTGAGACTTATGTACAGCTGTACAAGCCTAATGCCAGCAAGAAGCAGACAGCTGTGATATGGTTGTTGTGGTGGGCTAAGAAAAAGGTACACCTCTACCCCGATATAACGCGACCTGATATAACATGAATTTGGATATAACGCAGAAAAGCAGCACTCCAGGGGGGGGGCGGAGCTGCGCACTCCAGCGGATCAAATCAAGTTCGATATAACGCAGTTTCACCTACAACGCGGTAAGATTTTTTGGCTCCCGAGGCATCAGAGCTGGGAATGGAATATTGGGGAACAGACTCTGCGAGCGTGTAGAGCAGGGGTGGGCAAACTTTTTGGCCCGAGGGCCACATCGGGGTTGCCAAACTGTATGGAGCGCTGGGTAGGGAAGACTGTGCCTCCCCAAACAGCCTGGCTCCTGGCCCCTCCCACTTCCCGCCCCATACTGCTCCCCTCAGAACCCCCCGACCAATCCAACTCCCCCTGCTCCTTGTCCCCTGACCACCCCCTCCTGGGACCCCCAGCCCCAACCAGCCCCCCGGAAGCTCACCCCTATCCAATCCCCCCTGCTCCCTGTCCCGACTCCTATCTACACCCTTGCCCCCTGACAGGCCCCCCAAGGACTCCCACGCCTATCCAATCCCCACCTTACCGGCCGGAGCCAGCCATGCTCCCCGGCAGGAGCTCGCAGCCGCACCACCCAGAGCATTGCGCCAGTGGCACAGTGAGCTGAGGCTGCAGAGGAGGGGCGACAACGGGGGAGGGGCTGGGGGCTAGTCTCCACGACCAGGAGCTCAAGGGCCAGGCAGGATGGTCCCGCGGGCCGTAGTTTGTCCACCTCTGGTGTAGAGCTATGAATATGTTTGCTCGGAATTAACCCCAATAAACATTGCAGTGCCTGCACTTCGGATTTCTGGTCTTGTGCTCTCTGTCTGTGTGACAAGAACCAGCAGAGAGAGTGGAGGAAAGGAGGCACTTAAATCCACTTGTAAGAGGTTTAGAGTAAAGGCACCATTATGGGAGAGTGCCAGTATTTTTTCTACGTTTGGTGCTACTCCAGTAAAGGCAACTGGAGGATTGTAAATTAAAGTTAGGGGCGGTTAAAGACGACTTGGCACAACAGGGTTTGGAGTCAGAAGCAAAGTGAATAGACCACCTTAAGAGACAGGAGCTGTGACTTGGTCGGAGTGAAGAAAAGGAAAAAAAAAAGGTTTTCATAGAATCATAGAATATCAGGGTTGGAAGGGACCTGAGGAGGTCATCTAGTCCGACCCCCTGCTGAAAGCAGGACCAATCCCCAACTAATGGGTTGCTTAACCCCTGAAGTTGCTCAGAAACAATTAACTGCAACAGAGAATAGCACTTCTGCAATTCAGTTGAGGTTTAAACAAAAACAAAAAGCACAGGGAAAGGCAGGTGTATTGCACCTTAAAGAACTGAATGCAGAAGTAAGTGATTTAAAATAAGAGTTACAAGTTTTTGCAAAAATTAATACTACAGACTTTGTAGGGAAGTAAGCACTTAGGAGTTGTGGTGTTATAAAAAGGGAATTCTTGGTTGAATAATAAAACTCAGTTATGTAAATATAAATATATGTGAAATGCGGTACAGTCACACTGAGAACCGTGGTAGTTAAACAAATTATACAATTGGTCAGGTAGAGTGGCTACTGCTACCACTATGTGTTATCCCCAGAAGTTTTTACAACTATTCTGAGGGGAAATGGGCCCTTTTCCCACAGGAATAGTTTGTAATCAAAATCAGTATAGGGGGTGTGTGTGTGGAGGGGGGGATATTGGAACTTGACTGCCTTCAATTATACAAAATGGGAATGTAATCTGGGTATAGGGATATTAGGCAAAAAAAGAACGTGTGTGGGTAAATATTTTTGTGTAATTATGTACGGTTTTAAGGACCTAAACCAACGCTAGGTTTGTTTGTAAAATTCTGTTTGTAGGTTTAAGATAAATTGGGTTTGTTTTGTTTTTAAATACAAAAAATAATGCCTCTAAAACTCCATTTGAATCTCACATCCAAAGTTGCAACATTGACAGACCCTTTTTCCAGACATGGCCAGCTAGTATGATGAGGCTTTGGTATTTAGCATTTAACCCTTTGGGTACTTCCATGTGGTTATAAAGTTTAATATCTTTTTAAATGAGGAGCAAAGAATGTGGCCATGGCAGGGGCAGCCACAACTGGGACAAAAAGTTAAAAGACAGTTTACCTCTGAAGCAAGAGCAGGGGTGCAGTGTACAAAAGAAGCAATGTCAGAAACAGGGAGCCCTGAAGTGGCTCTAAATAATCAGACTGTCACAATGTTATACCTTGACATAAATGCTAGTGAGTAAACTTGTAACAATGTGTAATGTGTGTAATTTTAGGGGAGGGGAGGGATTTTCAGCATGTTAAAAATGATAATTGAAAATAAATCTCATGTTCAAAGATCTCATAGTAATAACCTCAGCTATTACCTGTGAATAAACTTAAAGCTTAGCACAGCAGAGAAGCCATTACAAACCTGGTCTGCTGTACAAGAAGGGAAACTGAGGTACTCCACCTCATGAATTTCATAAACCGAGGGATAATTCACCCTTTTCTTTAAGGGTAGAAGCCAGTGCAATCTGGCGTATCTATAGAACAAATCGCAGGAAAGTATAGAGGTAATTCCTCTGGGTTTTTTTGCAATCAGTAAGGAGATTTGTAAAAGAGATATTTTTAAGCAATAATCTGTCCCCAGAACGAGGTAGGAAATGTTTGTTTTTCAGACACTCTACAGGCAGAAATTTGGTTGGCAAAAGTTCATTCCTTTCATCTTATAGATATTTTTGGTCCCAATTAAGGAAAAAACTTAAGTATGCCCTTAAATGCAATTCACAAAAGTCTTTGCATTGAAGGTATTTAGTATACAGTCAAGCTGCTATCTATTTTGTGTGAGATTTTCAAAGGCACGAAGGGCAGCTGGAAGCTCAACTCCCTTGAAAGTTACTGGGAATTACAGGCCTATCTCCCATTTGTGACTTAAATAATCTCCCCCCTTTCATGTGTTTAAGAGAGGCATCCTCAGAGAGAGATGGCCCTGGAACCAAAACCAGAGACTTAGCAAATCACACACTCCTTAAAACATGGATATTATTATAGCAAATGTAGCCAGCAAAATGGCATGGACCCCAGCTGTATGCCTAATCAGCATACGTTTTGTGGGTGGCAAAGAGAGAAGAGGCCAGATAGGAGGAAGGCTACAAGCAAGCAAGAAAAGGTAACCAAGATGTGGACAGAGGTCTTAGGAGTAGGAGCAGTGAAGAAAGAGCAAATTTTTTGAGCTATTAAAGCTAATAAAAGCAGAGATGACAATGGAGATAGAGAAGGGAAGAGAAGAAGTATTTGGAGGGAAGATGAAAAATTCAATTTTGGACTGATTGAGTTCTAGAGATGAGATGGCAACAGTGGCTGGTTTAGTCGGAGAAGAGAATGAGTCAGGGCAGCTAAAAATAAGAAACTGGATGGAGTCAAGAGTAGGGTTACCATATTTCCACAATCAAAAAAGAGGACACTGGGGGG